TATCTAGTGATGATAGCCAGCCGCAACGCGATCGGTACAGCTCTGTTGAATGCCGACAAAAGCTGGTTCAGAAAACGCTTTCCACAGACGATTCGCTGCTACTGTATCTAGTGATAATATTCCGCTTGAAGGCGATCAGTATAGCACTATTGAGCGACCACAAAACCTTGTTCAGAAAACAATTCAGTCCGCCAGTAATCCCCTGCTGCCGTCCAGTTATCATGGTAATGATGTTGAGCCGCAAGGAGATCTGTACAGCTCTGTCAAGCGGTCAATCAGGCGGACTGTGTGTTGAGCCGCAAGGAGATCTGTACAGCTCTGTCAAGCGGTCAATCAGGCGGACTGTATGTTGAGCCGCAAGGAGATCTGTACAGCTCTGTCAAGCGGTCAATCAGTAGGGTCCAGCGGATAATGCTCCGAAAATGTTCGTATAATGCTAACCATAATGCTCCAAAAACTGCCTTACTAGTAATGCTGATTATAATGCTTCAGCAAGGGATATAATGCTCTTGGTTTGGGACAAAAATGGAAGAAAGTCTGCACATTGTCAAGGCTTCCAGAAAGTTAAGCCTAGTTCACATTCGACGGGGCGCGACGGGACGCGACGTAAGGATCGACGGGAAGCGACGGGACGGTCTGACGGCGTCCAATGTGAACACCAGGAACGGGAACGCAACCGTACTACCGTACAGATCGGGAAGCGACGGGAAGAGTTGGATCGATCCAACTTTTCATACCGTAGACGGGCGTAGACGGGGACGCAAGCGTACAAAGCGGCTGCAATTCGAGTGTGAACAGGAGACGCCGTCGTGCGCCGACTGCTCCCGATTCGTACTTGGATATTTTTAGCATTTCGAACACTGCACTTCCCATGATAACTCACAGAATGGCTAGCACGACTGGAGTTGAATTTTAGCAACATAAGATCTCATGTCACTTATTGTATTTAGGGATAGTTCAGAAGCGTGACAGACGAACTATTCTATCATTTCCTGGGGCTATTATTTGAATGCCACAACTTTCAGGGCTAATTTTTTGGTCTTCACGAAAAACTGGTATTGTGAACTTGATTCCGCTTCTTTCAAGGAGAAATAATTGAAAAGAAGTCCCGAAAAACGAGAAATTAGGTCCAAAAGTCACCCCGTCACGGACCGTGCCTCATGACTCGCGCCGTTCGACGGTGAACGTCGCAACGACTGCTGCATGTCGTGTCGTACGAATCGTACAGGATTTTACAGCTCACCCCAGCCCTCCCGACAAGCCCTTACGTCCCGTACCGTCGGCGTTGCGTCGAATGTGAACTAGGCTTTATGCATATCGTCGATCTGCCTCTGAAGCTGCCACCTTATCTCTCACGAGCTCCACCACTTCTTAGCACTATAAGACATGATCGCTTCTCCATTGACTGCTCTCCATTCCAACTTTGATGCAGGGTTGTGGCACAATAGTCGGTGAATCAAATCTTTCTCCAAAATTATCCATGTAGTGAGAGATGAAACCATTATTGCAGGTAGTCATTCATTGTTGGGATGAAGTAAATCTTGGCAAATAGTATTCCTTCCTGCAGACAAGCTGTCACTGCGTCCACTTTGTGAATAATGTCTTCATCTGAAACACCAGACGTGAGGCCAGCTCCTGAGATCCGATCTCAGATGCCGGAGAGCCCTCCCATTTGCGGAAATCCTGAAAACACGTGGTCAGAAGTTATTTTGCCACTCTACATCCTTTGCTTGTGCTCTCATCTTCTCCTTGAGATGGTGTGTAGACGTATGTCTTGCCACAATACTCTTCCTTTCTGATAGCATTTAATTAACTGTAGGCCTGGCATTACAACCGTCCACAACTAGCTGTATGTGCTTCATCAGGAAAGTAAGACAAGCGCTGCTGAGCAATCGACTTGGTACTGAGTCCATGAGCCTCCTGAGCTGGACTCGGCAAAGGCAGTTCTTTTGGAACGAGCTTTTTCTGTTTATAGCCGCTCCTTCATCCTGGTCCAAATTTAGCAATGCATCAGTGTCTACTTCAGTATCGCTAGAGATGCTATCGCCAGAGCCTCTGGCACAACGAGAAAACCCTTCTTCGTCTGTTTGGTATTCACTTCGCGTATGTCTCCTCCATAGCTCTCCATTATTCTTGAAGTAAAAAGAAACCTCGTAAATAATTTCTCCGGATTTGTGTCACTTGAGCTGCCTCGGCCTCGGTTGGGCATGCTTCATAAATGGCTTGTATAGGACATTTACCTGACCACATCGCTACAATCATAACGTTTTTATGTAGCAATAGTTATGTAGCGTTAGTGCTAAAGGCCGGTGTTACGTGTCTACACAATCACAAAGTCATGCGCCGGTACAATGCATGGTGCTCAAATGCCCGGAATGGGCGGAGCGTCGTACGCAAGAGGCACACAAAAGGAGTAAAATAGGGCTGTTTCGTTGTTACTCAGAGTTTCATGGCAAAAACCAATCGTCAGACAATATCTCACGATCATAATTGTAGCCGATTGTTGCCAAAAGCCTGGGATTTCCCGATTATTATCCACTATGAAACTCGTTATGCCGCTCAAACTTCACATTATGCTCGTTTTGTTCCTTTCTAATGCTCCATAATGCTCTGATGGAGACTGATGCTCGGATAGTCGTATAATGCCGAATATAATGCCGGCATTATCCGCTGGACCCTATCCGAATCAGGCGGACTGTATGTTGAGCCGCAAGGAGATCTGTACAGCTCTGTCAAGCGGTCAATCAGGCGGACTGTAGCAACACCAGCACACTGAGACTGAGAGTGAGAAGCAATTACCTATCCCACCACTTGCTAATAACAGCAACCATGACAACCAATGCAACCATGACAACCAATGCAACCATGACAACGGTGAGAACCATGACAACCATGGAAGCGATGACAACCATAACAACCTTGGCAACGATGACAACCATGACACATTATGTGTGTACTACTACTACTGGTTGACCTTACCCGCTTGCATCTTAGTGCATGTAGGCATCCGGTTTGCTAAGCCGCACCCGCGTCTTGGAAGTCTAAAAAAGGTTTATGATCTATTAACGGATCAGTAAGACTTTTGACTTTTTCGCATTTTAACTTTCCGAGTCCCTACCTTTACCCACTTGTTGTGCTATTCGTCGTTCTCTCGTCCATCATATCCGGATAAGAACACTTTTTGTGCTATTATGCGTTCTCTCGTCCATCATATCCGGATAATAAGAACACTTTTTGTGCTATTATGCGTTCTCTCGTCCATCATATCCGGATAAGAACACTTTTTGTGCTATTATGCGTTCTCTCGTCCATCATATCCGGATAAGAACACTTTTTGTGCTATTATGCGTTCTCTCGTCCATCATATCCGGATTAGAACCCATGTACGCCTTCTCAGATTAGCCTACTTTTTATCAGCTTACTAGTACTAGAACTTGCAGTATTTTCAGCTGAGTATTCTTGTACTGCTTTGCAGTTGTAGTCAATAGCTGTTGCATAGCGTTAGACGGATATGACCATAAATAGCCTATACTATTGCAATGAAGACTAAGACTTACATTCTCCTGCATGCACCGTCGTCTTCATGCTGACACCTACACGACACTTGTGTATGGTTGGGTCAGACATGGAGGCGGGATTCTAGGAGACTACTACCATCGGGTGTTAGCGGCCGTCGTGAGTTCCCTTCGGGAACGGATACTATAATTTACTTTTATTTTTATTTTTTTACTACCACTACTAGCCTGTCTGTGGTGGAGAAGATACACAAGAGGGTATAGTTTTCACTCTGAGTCTGCTCGCTCGGGAACTGGGCAGATGCCGATTTGCGGATAGACTAGAGTGGCATCGTGTGTGTCAGTGGACGCTGCCTGGTGATCCACAAGATACACATCATATCCGGTCTCAGTAAAACTTGTCCCTGTTCTTGTGAAAGACCCTGGAGAAAAGCATTGGTTGCATACAGAGCATCGGGCAGAATCAGGGCATCGTAAAACAGGTGTGCCTGGTCTGCCTGGTGCTGAGGTGTCCCCGAATGTGGGTTTAGAACTGTCAGGTTCTGCGACACGTTTCTCCCCACCATTGCAATCTGAGACCAGTAGTAACCATAGTAACTGCTAACTACTAACTGCTAGTAATAGTAGTATCGTGACCTTGCCTGACTGTGCTGGCTAGAGCGCTAGGTGGCCTAGTGCCTGACTGTGCTGGCTAGATCGCTAGGTGGCCCAGTGGTTGAGCCGTCACACACAGTGCCACGCCAGTATCCATCTGCGACCCTTCAACCTTTCCGGCGTGCGTCATTTCAGGAGTTTCCTTCATGATTTGCGTCACCGAACGTAACCACGTTTCATTACATGCACGTATTACGCCTTGGCGAGATACAGATGTGCGCATGAGAGGGGCACTGCCATCACGCGCTGGGTACGCGTTCCGGCCCAACGAATTCCTGATGGCCATCAGGCACTGGTCTTCCGTGGCTCACAAAAAGAATGGAGACTGGATCCTACGCCAGTCGATCATCCCCTAAACATTGAGCTTGTACTGAAGCAGTAGAAGCCCATGCACGCAGACCTTACCTTTCTTCACGACGCTGCAATGACAGGGGAAAGGACACGGCCATAGCTGCAGCCAAGAATACAACCCTTGATCTTCTTTAGCACGCCTGTTGCACTGGCATACTGACTACTGACACTGTTAACACTATGAGCTGCAGCCAAGAGTACATAAACCTTAGGTTTATGTACTCTTGGCTGCACTATGAGCTGTGCATGTGAAGAAAGTGCTCCACCAGCAGGATACCGGTACATGAAATCTCAACGCTACGTAGATCTACTACGTAGCGGGCGCAGGACCGAGAGGTATGAGAGGTATGGCGTAGAGAGGTATGAGAGGTATGCCGTATGGCGTAGAATTGACTGCAGTACGGGCAGTACTTGTAGCTGGCTTCCGAGTCAATCATTATTAACCCTTATCCGTGCACCAGGCTGCATCATTATTGACCCCTGTCCGTGCACCAGCCTGCAGGGCAACCCTGGTGCACACCAAGGCTGCGGTCATATTTTAGAGTGTAGAGAGCGTTATTATTACTATGTTCTTGGAAGCACACTCGTCTCCAGTTTGCCTGACATAACTTGTGTTTGCAGTAAGCTTAGCTCTGTGCAGAGATCATCCGCGAACGACTGCACTCTACTCGAACGTCTGCTCGCCTCGTCATCGCTGAGGGAGTTGGATCTTGTCTAGGACTGCCTAAGAGAGGTCTTTTGATCTTTTCTCGGGGCTGATAGTGCGGCCACGAATAACTATGGGATCAATTGAGTTGTTGCTAGCCAGTAGCACACGGCCCAGGACTGTTGGCCGGCTTCACAATCACACTAGCAAATGGTGTGTATTGCAGCTGATGGTATGGCAATTGCTCCTTTTCACTGGTTCTTCGACAGCTGTTGCATGGGAGAGGGCAGCTAGGAATCCCACCGAGGGTCATGAAGTTAAGAAAAACACGGGTGATTACGTGTTGAACGACATCCTATCGCAATTGCACTCCATGGTTAGTGTGGGAGAGGGTTTGCATAACCCTCTGAACCTGGACAAGCAGGTGGTTAGTAGGCCTCCCCAGCAGACAGCGCTACCGTCAACTCTCAACGATGGTGGTAAATGCGCGGCGCTATCCCCCTCACCTTCTCACAACAACACAGCAGGTATGTCACGTGATACAGAGCTTGTGTATAACGGTAACATATCGAACATCGGATCCCTGCTGGAACCGTTTTGCTCTACTGCCAGCCGGCACTTAATGTGGCTTGGGAGAAAGACGTACGAACGTGCATTTCACTTTCAGCCACTGCTGTTGCCAAGACCGGCCTTTGTTAAGGAGCATCCTCGAATTCAGCCTTATGAGGCACTGCTGGCGTTTGGTATGTCGACATCTTCTACACCTTCTGTTGAAAAAATTACTGCCTACGTCATGAACACGTATCAAGCCGATGGACAAACATGGCGGATTTTTCACGTGCTTGATTTTAGTGAGCTTCTTCCCTTCCAGTGCCAAGACCCGGATGATTTTCAGCCCGCAATTACCTTGAGCATGTCTCGTCAGCAAGTGTACTTCTTCGGCTTCGGACCGCAGGCCGTATGTTCTGTTTTGCTCGTTTGGGATATTGGCAGCCGCCACCTGAGCAGGGTCAATGCCACTGATGGACAGCAGGTGCCGCATGTTTACCACACACTTGTTACCATAGAAACAAACATGACGGGTAGTGTTCAAAACGCGGATACAGAACGTGACCATGGTGACGTCCTGCTTTCGTACGGAGGAACATTTTGTGGATTTCATGACGTGTACGCGTGCCCAGAGGAGAAGATCAGTGCTGGCTTGTGGCGCTTTGATTTCAACAACACACTGTCGGATGGAATAGTGCTGGGCAGATGGTCAAAGGTTCCGGTCGAAACCAAGCCTGGATCACCATATCCTTCCGCTCGCATATCTGCGAGTGTCTTTTTCGCTGCTCCGGACCGGATCTTGATGTACGGTGGAATCGGCGTAGTGAGAGCCAGTGAGCTCAATGAGTCGAATGAGTCTCTGAGTTGCAGCGAATGCCGTGAGGTGGCCCTATGTGATTTATGGCAACTCAACCTTGGAACATTGACTTGGCAAGTGCTTAGCAGTAATCTTACTCTGAATTGTGCCCAGCGAGCTCCATCGAACTGCTTTGGCTTTCCGAGATTTGCCAATCGCCAGTTCTGTGCCTACGACCCAGTGGAAGAAGTCATTTCTGTACCAACAATAGTTCTGACTGAGTTTTCCCTGGGTGCATTATGTAACATTGGTTCTTTCGCTCTTTCAAGATTTTATTTGAATAGCGTGGAAAGCGGCTGGAGAACCTGGGAACAAACATCCGCCCAAGACCTTTACATCGTTGCGAGCGGAATAGAGCGTCTTCTCTCCTCCGGCTTTGCCACAGCTACGCACAGGGTGTTTTGCGTGGATCTCGGCTTCTTGCTGACTTCTGACATGACACTGCGATACGACCACGTGACCGGGATGGATTCGGTCAATCTACAATTTCTACCAGACAACTTGAACAAGATTTATAGATTCGCTGGCAACACTGGCTGCATTAGCCCAGCCCCTATTGTAGCGGAGTCGCGTTCTTTCGAGAAGGAGGACTACAAGGAGCACTACTTCATCGTACTTGGCGGCTTTTGCCTTCTGAAGGGTGAGAGCCCTGACAATCGGCTGCTTGCCAGCTGGGATGTTCTGCCTGTTTGGTCGTATCTAAATGAGAATCTTGAATTTGGATACTTGATGAAACTAGTGAGACCAGCCCCTGAGTTCCTGCACCAAGTGTTTCACACAGTTGTACCATTGTCAGAAGAGCCAGTAGCAGGGCAGAACATACGCAATGGTGCCCAGGCCCCAGCCCAAGGCAGTCCTGGAACGGTTCACAAAGCCGCTCTTTATGGTGGTGTATCATTACTTGGCCACATTGTTCCACCAGACGTATGGTGCTTTGATCTGCGAGAGCATTACTGGACACAAGCAAACCTCACCACAAACACCCATGTACCACAATGGAGAAGCAATGCCATATTCGGCCATGTCGCATTCCCTGTTCCTGGACCCTCCTCCGCGTTTGCCATATACGGTGGATTCCAAGGCGATTTTGGCTTGCCTCTGTTCTCCAGTAACCGTAGCTACATGTTTGAATTTTCAAACCTGGAGGAGTGTGAAGGACAGTGGGTAGAGCTGCAGGCTAGGTCACGTCCGCTACCAGGCCTTGCACTACATAGCGTCACGATAGTGAGCAGTGACATCTACGTATTTGGCGGCCTGTGTGACCTGGAGCAGCGAAATAGCCTGCTTCGCTTGCAAATTGATCGACGGCCGAGCTACACTGTAGAGTGGGTTGAGGTGAAGCAGGCCAGGACTTTGCCTGCCATGTTTGGCCACAGTCTGACAGAGTTTACGCCGGATTTCTTGCTTCTTCTCGGTGGCATTCATTACGATTCCGCAAGATGTCATAATAACCTAGCTGGGTTCTGCTTCAACAGCAAGGGTGCCGTGGCTTATCTGATGCGGATTGGTGGTGGTGGTGCTACTGATGCTGCTGCTGCTGGCTCGCAGCAACGTGCTGACATCATACCGTTCTTCCCTCATCACCCAATTGCCCTACACAAAGCTGTCAGTCAGTTTATCTTTGGCGGGGCTGTCAATGCAGCAGAGTTTCGTCAGGAGTACGCTAGGCTCATGTCACAAGACTGCCACAGCCAAATCCCCAGTTCATCGTGCCCACTTGGGTATGGGCGCAATGGTTCAACATGCATGCCATGTCCACAGGAATACATCTCCACAGGAACTGGTGGGAAATGTGTGCCATGCCCGAAGTTTCAAGTCACCAACGGCACGGGACAGACCATGTGTATGATACCACCGCCATGCAAAGACAACAGTTGCCATGGCCACGGTACATGCTATTCAGTCGATCTGTACGTGGCGGCGTGCTCTTGTGAATTCGGTTACACGACATATGACAATTGCCAGCTACCCTTTACCTACCTTGGTATGGGTGCTACAATAACTGTTGTTCTGCTGTGTGTGACCCTTATTCTTCGACGATGTATTCTACTACGCAGGAAGGCACAGAGTAAGCTGGTTCAGAAAGAGCGCGAGCTCCTTGTGTCCCGCTGGAAACTGGGACAATTGTCACGTGGATCCAGAATACAGTACAAGGAGTTGACATTCCTGAATCAAATTGGTGAGGGTGCGTTCGGTCAGGTGTTCTTGGCCGAGCTCAGTTGTTTGAAGGTAGCGGTCAAGACTCTCCGTGGATGTCGTTTATCAAGACGAGCGGCATGCAAGCGATTTCAAGTAGAGGCGGAGCACATGCGTACTGTTCACCACCCCAATATCGTCATGTTCTTTGGTGGAGGCAGAGAGCCCAAATCCAAGTGTCCGTTCATCGTTATGGAATACATGTCGCATGGATCGCTCAAGCAGGTTCTCTCCAACACTGATATTGACCTGGACATTGGCAAGAAGCTTGGCTTTGCACTGGATGTCGCTCAGGGCATGGAGTTCTTGCATGGCTCAACATCACCACGCATTCATTGCGACTTGAAAAGCGCCAATATGTTAGTGACAGAAAAGTGGCAGATCAAGATAAGTGATTTCGGTATGCTGTTCCTGATGTCGACAATACATGACTATGATCCTACTGATCCGCAAGAAAACTTGCTATCTTCCCATGGTATCTTGATCTCATCCGATGATGATGATGATGACTTCAATACCCAAGAGTACAACGACGATCCATCTGCAAGTCTTCTTACGCGGAGCAACAGACATAACTTAGCTGGAAGGGAACTGCGGAACATTGCCTCCTCTATCAATGCAACACGGAAGAGTGGCAATGGTGACTTGTGCCATAGCAATGCTGCTGCTGCTGCTGGTGCTGGTGCTGCTGCTGCTGCTCGTGTTGGTGTTGGTGCTGCTGGTGTTGTTCAAAGTGGTGGCGGTGGTGCAGCTGCTGCTGCTGGCGGTGTTGGTGCTGGTTGTACCCCTGTTTCTGCTGTTTCTGCTGCTGCTGCTGCTGCTGCTGCTGCTGGTGGTGTTGCTGGTGGTATTGCTGGTGGTGGTGTTGCTGGTGGTATTGCTGGTGGTGGTATTGCTGGTGGTGGTGTTGCTGGTGGTATTGGTGGCACTCCTGGTCTGGTTACCACACGTGACTTAACTCAGCGGATGGGAACACTGCGATGGTGTGCTCCTGAGGTGATCAAAGCCGTTTTCTACGGATCTTCGGAGTGCGCTTTCAACAAGCACACAGATGTCTATAGGTAAGTCTATACACTCGTTTGAGTACACAAGACCAGGCACTGTCGTTGTCATAGTGACCATGAGATGCTCACACGTCGTGGACAAAAATGGAATGTTGTACTATAAGTTAGTTGCACAGTGTATCTCAAAGTCGAATACACATTTCCGTACTTCATATTGAAAGTCGAATACACGTTGTCCATACTTCATATTGAAAGTCGAATACACGTTTCCATACTTCATATTGAAAATCTAATACACGTTGTCCATACTTCATATTGGAAGTACAAGCGGAATTAAGGAACCCAAGTTATCTTACTTTGAAGTATAAGGCATTATGGTGGATCTTCCCTGGCTTAGTACACACTGTACCAAGAGTACCTAACCTCTGTAGGCTAGCCCTGCACCTATTGACTAGCCCTGCACCTGTAGGCTAGCCCTGCACCTGTTGGCTAGCCCTGCACCTGTTGGCCTGCCCTGCACCTGTTGGCCAGCCCTGCACCTATTGACTAGCCCTGCACCTGTTGGCCAGCCCTGCACCTGTTGGCCAGCCCTGCACCTGTTGGCTAGCCCTGCACCTGTTGGCCAGCCCTGCACCTGATGGCTAGCCCTGCACCTATTGGCTAGCCTTGCACCTGTTGGCTAGCCCTGCACCTATTGACTAGCCCTGCACCTGTTGGCTAGCCCTGCACCTGTTGGCTAGCCCTGCACCTGTAGGCTAGCCCTGCACCTGTAGGCCAGCCCTGCACCTATTGGCCAGCCCTGCACCTAGTACCTATTGGCTAGCCCTGCACCTGTTGGCTAGCCCTGCACCTGTTGGCCAGCCCTGCACCTGTAGGCTAGCCATGCACCTGTTGGCCAGCCCTGCACCTGTTGGCTAGCCCTGCACCTGTTGGCCAGCCCTGCACCTATTGGCTAGCCCTGCATCTGTTGGCCAGCCCTGCACCTATTGGCTAGCCCTGCACCTGTTGGCTAGCCCTGCACCTGTTGGCCAGCCCTGCACCTATTGGCTAGCCCTGCATCTGTTGGCCAGCCCTGCACCTATTGGCTAGCCCTGCATCTGTTGGCCAGCCCTGCACCTATTGGCTAGCCCTGCATCTGTTGGCCAGCCCTGCACCTATTGGCTAGCCCTGCATCTGTTGGCCAGCCCTGCACCTATTGGCTAGCCCTGCATCTGTTGGCCAGCCCTGCACCTATTGGCTAGCCCTGCATCTGTTGGCCAGCCCTGCACCTATTGGCTAGCCCTGCATCTGTTGGCCAGCCCTGCACCTATTGGCTAGCCCTGCATCTGTTGGCCAGCCCTGCACCTGTTGGCTAGCCCTGCACCTGTTGGCCAGCCCTGCACCTATTGGCTAGCCCTGCATCTGTTGGCCAGCCCTGCACCTATTGGCTAGCCATGCATCTGTTGGCCAGCCCTGCACCTATTGGCTAGCCCTGCATCTGTTGGCCAGCCCTGCACCTATTGGCTAGCCTTGCATCTGTTGGCCAGCCCTGCACCTATTGGCTAGCCCTGCATCTGTTGGCCAGCCCTGCACCTATTGGCTAGCCCTGCATCTGTTGGCCAGCCCTGCACCTGTTGGCTAGCCCTGCACCTGTTGGCCAGCCCTGCACCTATTGGCTAGCCCTGCATCTGTTGGCCAGCCCTGCACCTATTGACTAGCCCTGCATCTGTTGGCCAGCCCTGCACCTATTGGCTAGCCCTGCATCTGTTGGCCAGCCCTGCACCTATTGGCTAGCCCTGCATCTGTTGGCCAGCCCTGCACCTGTTGGCTAGCCCTGCACCTGTTGGCCAGCCCTGCACCTATTGGCTAGCCCTGCATCTGTTGGCCAGCCCTGCACCTATTGGCTAGCCCTGCATCTGTTGGCTAGCCCTGCACCTGTTGGCTAGCCCTGCATCTGTTGGCTAGCCCTGCATGTGACACTATCAAGGTTTATACATGTATAATGTGGTCTGTACTGGGACTGATTACGGTCAGCTTTGATGCATGTCCAGTCAGGGGCGTGCTCGGCCCCCCAACTAGGGGGGTGCACGGGAGCCAAGGGGAGCCCCCCCCGGCAATTTTCTGCAATTAATTATTTGTTTGCAACCTTTCTTGAATTTTAGAGCATATTTGCATACATTACAATTCCAATTACCCAGATTGAAAATTTTTGGGGGTGCACGTGCCCCCCGTGCCCATTGCCGAGCACGCGCCTGTGTCCTGATGGCTTGTTTGTTTCCTTGTCTATGTGCGCATATGTGTATGTATGTGTGTGTGTGTGTGTGTGTGTGTGTGTGTGTGTGTGTGTGTGTGTGTGCGCGTGTTTTTTGCCTGCATGTATGTATGCTCACGCATGTTCACATATGTGGTCGTGCGGGTGTGTTCCCGGCTGTTTCTGTTAGATACCCGTCCATTCACCTGCCCCACATGCATTCATACAATCATCTGCCCACATGCCCACATGCCTATCCACTTATCCACCTACCACTGTTCCTATTGCCAACTGCCCAATGGGCTGACCTATGAAATGTTGCAACTTACTTATTTCAATGTGCTTACCTATGCAATGATGCGACTTATTGCTAAGTGCTAACCTATGCAATGATGTAACTGGTTACAATATGCTAACCTATGCAATGATGTAACTTATTGCTAAGTGCTAACCTATGCAATGATGCGACTCGTTACAATGTGCTAACCTATGCAATGATGCAACTTGTTGCTGCCTGTGTGCTCACCCATGTTATCAATTGCAATTTGTTGCTGTGTGCTGACCCGTCTACAGCTTCAGCATAGTACTGTGGGAGATATTGACACGGAAGTTACCATTCGACAGCATGGTCGATGAGAGCCTGGTACTTGCAGCTGTGCAGGCTGGCACACGGCCACAACTTCCACAACGACGTCACCACGACTCATACCAGTACATCAATATCATTGAAGCATGTTGGAGTGCCAGTCCGGAGGACCGCTGGCTATTCCCCGACATTGTGAAGTGCCTGATTCGAGAGAAGAAACGCCTGGCCTCAGTGAAGCCCGCACACATTGGTCCGGGTGCTCCACATCTTTAAATAATTATGATGATGTCATCACACCTTGTGACTTAACACTGGCAGCTGTGTGACGTCATCATGCGAGTTGATCTAGTACTGGCTGCTTGCAGTGCTTGGCTGCTATCACACAGTATGAGGATGATGACATGGCAACTGACGTCCTGTCTTCAATCCGGGTCTTCAATCCGGGTACTAGGACAGGCCCCCCGTGTGTCCTAGTTTGCAGACGGTCACGTGTGTTGCTCAGGCTGAGTGTGTCCTTTGGTGCCCGTTTTCTACCGGACATTCCGACTCCCTGGGAACGTGTATGTGGTCATGTCACCCCCTTTCATTGTTGATTTGGTCATGTCACCCCCTTTCATTGTTGATTTGGTCATGTCACCCCCTTTCATTGTTGATTTGGTCATGTCACCCCCTTTTATTGTTGATTTGGTCATGTCACCGCCTTTCATTGTTGATTTGGTCATGTCACCCCCTTTCATTGTTGATTTGGTCATGTCACCCCCTTTCATTGTTGATTTGGTCATGTCACCCCCTTTCATTGTTGATTTGGTCATGTCACCCCCTTTCATTGTTGAAATTTTGGTCATGTCACCCCCTTTCATTGTTGATGAGCATTATGCTAGCATTATTTTTATTTATTTTATTATAACACTACATTTCCGCAAAAGTGGCATTATACTCAAATAGTCCATCGGCCAAATCTCAGAAAGGGCCTCTTTCGGCGAAGGTGATGCACTGAAGCTCCAACTAAACGCCCTTTGGCACACTAGCTCATGAGACCCCATAGAATACGAATCCGATTGTTGGACGTTGCCAATCCAGTCCAGGATAGTCGAACTGGGTCGAATACCTTCTTCCGATTTTCGTAATTTCGTCCACCATTACATCTTTCTCATCGATTTTTTTCGCTTGGCGAATGTTCTTGAGCCGCTGAGCAGAATCTACGCACGCTCGAACACTTGAAATGCCTGCATGCTGACGGTTCGCAAGATTCTAGCGAGCTTGGTGGAAATCTATTATTTATTTTGACATTTTTGGGGGAATCTGAATTAGAACGGTAGAAGCTCATTCGGAGAAGACGGCGTGTCGCCGCTGTCGGATTGTCGCTACTGTGTTTCAGACGTATTTGCTTGAACGTGCTATTGAGGATGGACAGAAGATGAAGTGACGGCTTTCTGGAACACGGACGTTGTGTCTACATTGTAGCTGAAACATCTCATCTGGCGTCTAGAACGCAATTATTATGAGTTGTGAGTGCCAGCTGAGCTGAACACAAGCTGGACACCATTCGTCAGCTGGGAATTTGCATCGAAGCTCTTGATAGCCACGATAAGCATAATTATACAGAGGTAACCTTGTTTGACTCAATACGCATGCAGGTGATACCACTTGTGGCACTACAATGTAAATGGTGCAAAATTGATGCAACAGCGAATATGTACTTCGTACAATCACGAACAATTGTAAGGCAAGTGTTCATGGCTGTCATAGAAGAATTTCAGCCCGGAAGTCTTGTTGTCATGGTCATAAATAATACAGGACTTGAGTTGGCTCTGGACATAAACACACTTGTGGTGAATACGGTCATTATTGCGAGAAAAATATTTAGCCACTGTATGTTAACACATGATGCCGCACTACACGCAATATTTCATGTACATGTATGTGAGACTCAATTGCATCCACAAGGCCGTAGATGCATGTAAGCACACAATACTGTACAGTATAAGTAGTAGTCGACATGTGGTGCCTTCCTGCTGCACATGCAAATGCGGCAAGTAGGCAACGACACATGACCTATCTGCACCGCACAGCGTGAGCTTAGAAAGGAATATTGCACACATAGTGCTATTTGTGTTCCGATATCGTTAAGCCGGTATACATGTACTAGTATCCTTATACATGTACCTGGTCACTCGATAGGCGATGCCGACTGTACTAATCTTATCCATATTACCCGTCAGGTTGTAGCACACTGCGTCAGATCACTATGCAACAAAACAAGACACTATGCAACAAAACAAGAGCTTTGCCCGGGGCGAATATACACTGAAGCAAAGTAGGTTTCAAGGGTACAGCACTAGTCACGATGAGGGGAGTTATGAGGATGGTTAGGCCGTGACACATAGATGATGATTGTTAATGATTCATGCACAGAGGAAAATTACCACCAATGGCGATGATATTGCTTTCACAACAATGACATCAGTAGGAGCAGTGACACAACCTTACTGCTCCAAGTAGGATTTACAAGCGAGTGAAGGGAGAGCAGACTGGTCTAATAGCAGACCGGGTCTAAGCAAGGAAGTAATTGGCATCAGAGGTGAGCTTGCACATGCACATCAGAAAACAGATGATGATCACCAAACACAGAGAAGTTGGCTATGTGTATGTTTGTGTCACTGTGTGTGCATGTGTGTGTGTGTGTGTGTGTGTGTGCATGTGTGTTTGTGTGTATGCGCGCACATCTGTGTGTGAGAGAGAGGCAGACAGACAGATAGCATATGGGTATTATGGTGGGAGGGATCAAGGTCTGACCTCAGAGTTAAATGCTGACGGTGTGGAATAGCAACAGTGCGAAATCGGGCAGGGTGGTTAATGGCCCACACTGGAGCCGAGTAGGAGCGCCAGTGGTTGAGGGCTAGCACAGGAGTAGCAGCAGCTCCAGCCTAGGAAGATCAGCTTCTGGATGAAAATCTCCCGGACACAGTAGGTACCAAGCTTCACTAGCAGATTGCCGGCAGGGGTGCACGGCGAGCACCCGTACATCCCTCAAGCCACCAGAGCCGCAGTACTTGGAGACGATCCAGGTGCTTACCCGCCAACAATGCTGAGAAGGCACTGGAGCCATACAGGAACTTATGATCGAGCATGACCACAGACTTGAAATACAGGGTCCGGCGTTGAATACTGAGACAGCGACGTCTCCTCCACAGAACACCACTCAGCCCCACCATTGCATTATTTTCGCTTTTTCATGATTTTTACAATTGTGTTAGAGCACACAGCACTCGATGCAACATTTACCAGTGACTAAATAACTCCGCGTCTCCGACCATAACTGCAGCGTTCCCGTGAGCCTGTTGGATTTCCGTCAGCCTGTTGAGATTTATCTTCATCTCGTCACATGTGAGCCTGTGTGTTTCATCCGTATCGTGGCACAATTACACAGACACGATTTCCAACTCAGGCCGGTTCCGTTGCTCGAAGGGTTGGCGGTAAGAGTTGCTACGCCGTCTGTGGCTGCATGGGAACTTGGCGAGTCGTCGTCTTTCTCCATAAATCCTGATCGCCACGCGAACAACAGCCACTATTGCCTAAAAACTACGACACAACAGTATCAAGCTCGCCCCAGCAGAAGGACACGAATGACGAGCGCTAAGACGGAGAAAGAGAGACAGGGTTAGCGAGAGCTGACTAGTGCAGGTACGCTGTCATCTCCTGAGGTGGTGGGCGAAGCAGCGAAGTGAAACAAAGGAAGATAGAACTTATTATAGAAGGCATACGGAGGCACCAAAACCTATTGCCTGTCACATACTAAGTGCCATTTAGGGTTGACAGCTCTCAGCTGACAGCCTCAAAAATTTGAAAATCTGCTCAAAAAACTCTCGATCAGAACTCTGCGCACTCTCAAATGGAGCGCACAGTAAAAACTCGGCGACGAAGAACGCTTCGTATCGGCGCCCTGGACTGAATTCGGCACGTCCAACAAACGGAATAGTGTTCTCTGATATATTCTCTACGTACTGGGTATGGTCGCGTTTAGTTGGAAGCTCAGTGCATCACCACTTTCGATTTTGAGACTTGGCCGATGGACTAAAATGGCCTTACTTCTGCGAAGACCAGGCTTACAAGTAGGGTGAAAATCACTTTTTTGAGAAAAATGATGTTTTGTGAAAATGTTGTGTCGCGTGGACGCTCGAGGGCAGTGAAGTGGAACCAAAGAGAATATTCCCTGCTACTCCTCTAGTCACAACGAAGAGTTTTTGAGCTGATCGAACGGATTCCATCTCCTACACTCAGGGATGGCGAAATTTCTGCGCTAGCTGCTGCTTGCGGAAAATGGTGAAGAAATCGTCTCCAGTTAAAGTCGTGATGGCGATAGCGAGGAGAACCTGGACGACATCGATCCAGCCAATCGAAGTACGGAGATACTAGCTGTTTCTTGGCCTCACACAAAGGGAACACGCGCAGCAGAGCTCATACGTTTGCAGCAAGTTCACGAGGAAAAAGGCTTGAAGCGCAGTGTGAAAACTGTTTTGAATTGAAGTCCTTGGCGATGAAGTGCTACTGAATGCCAGGCGAATGAGCTAGCAGATCGAGAGGCCTCCACTCCAGACTTTCCTCGGTGGACAGCTAGCTGCAAGGGATTGTATGGAGCAATGCCAATAGCAGCATAAAATTGGCATTATGATCATGATTTTCTAGCATTATCAGAGGCCTGCGTGGGAAGTGGCACTATCATCTGCGATCTCACAAAGACCCAGAATCTGCGTGTTTCGATGAACTGGATAGTGTCATTGGAAGAGACCTGATTCCGGCCCTCACTGGTCGTCCCAGCCTGTCAGATACTGAACGCAAACTGTTGGCACTGCCTGTCAGGTTCGGTGGCCTCGCCCACCCGAGTATTGCCCAGGACTCCAGTGAACAGCGAAGAGTGAGTCTGAGGGTATCGTGCTTAAAAGAGGACTGGTGCAACGAAATAGACACCTAAAACAAATACAAACAGCTTCAAGTTTACACGGCGAGAGAAAGTATACAGGTTATATTTGGTGAGAATGAAATCGATAGAAGTATACAGATCATGGCCAAACACTCGCCTTAGGCACCTATTGCTGGTTGACTCAAGTTTGTCTCTGAGTTTAGCAGACAAGCAGTGAACATAACATGTGCTGGCATAGTCCGAGGTACTCTGGACAATTGTCAGGTAAAACATGCGGCGGCCGGTCATGGAGACATTGCGGCGCCTGTGGCGGAATGAGGCAACCTTGCACTGTGCCTTTGCGCACACACGCTCAACCTGCTGCTCGAAGCTGAGGGACGAGTCCAATAGGAGGCCAAGGTACAGAACATGGCTGGACTCGGGGATTACGGTGCCTTTGCAGGTGATGCTGGGGATCACGTCCAGTTGCGCAGTAGGTCGTCTGAGCAGCAGTAGCTGAGACTTTTTGGGATTCAGCACCAGTCCCCGCTCGCTGAGGAAGTCCTCCAGATTCAAGAGATCTGTCTGCAGCATTCTGAGTACGGTTGAAGCCTTGCGACCAATGACGTAGAACGCGATGTCGTCCGCAAACAGGAGAGCACGGCAATGTTGAAATTTCTGAGGGGTACGCCGGATATAAATGCAGAAAAGTAAGGGGCCTAACACGGAGCCTTGTGGTACACCACGTGAGCAGGGCTCTGTACTGCCTCGGGCATCGCCGACAACGACCTGCTGGGTTCTCCCAGTAAGGTAGTCTGCGAACCAACGCAATGCCACACCTCCGACGCCAACTGAAGACAGTTCCTGCACGAGCTTGCTATGCTGAACGCGGTCGAAGGCCTTGCTCATGTCCACAAACATGGCTCCACACAGCTGCTTCTTTAAGTTCTTGTCCAAGGCCAACTGCCAGTCGTTTATTGCATATGCCAAAAGGTCTTCACAGCTGTGATTGCGCCTGTAAGCAAACTGCTCCTCCGGTAGTGCACCGAGTTCCGTAGAACTACGAAACGTGCACAATACTGCTCAAACCAAGCCATTTTTTCATACTTACTACTGGTCACGGAGTTGCTGGCATTACAGAGGAACAGCAGCATTATAAGTAGCATTACGATACAGTTTTTCTGGCATTGCCATTAGCATTATCCCGCAAAATAACTAGCATTATCCGCCCAGGCCTATCAACAGCAACAACAACTGGGTCCTACATAGCTGTGCTGCTAGTGTAATCAAGTCGAAAAACATGTTAAACTACCAAGCACCACTACCAAGCACCAATACCAAGCACCACTACCAAGCACCACTACCAAGCACCACTACCAAGCAAGGCTTCTGTGTATATAGTGTAATACTAGTAGGTGCACGAGACTCGAGAAGATGCAAACGAGGGATTTGGACTCATCGTCATCATCGTCATACCAATAGTTACAATGTAGGGTCCGGCGGATTCTGCTCGAAAAGGTGGCGGATTCTGCTCGAAAAGGTGGCGGATTCTGCTCGAAAAGGTGGCGGATTCTGCTCGAAAAGGTGGCGGATTCTGCTCGAAAAGGTGGCAGATTCTGCTCGAAAAGGTGGCGGATTCTGCTCGAAAAGGTGGCGGATTCTGCTCGAAAAGGTGGCAGATTCTGCTCGAAAAGGTGGCGGATTCTGCTCGAAAAGGTGGCGGATTCTGCTCGAAAAGGTGGCGGATTCTGCTCGAAAAGGTGGCGGATTCTGCTCGAAAAGGTGGCAGATTCTGCTCGAAAAGGTGGCGGATTCTGCTCGAAAAGGTGGCAGATTCTGCTCGAAAAGGTGGCGGATTCTGCTCGAAAAGGTGGCGGATTCTGCTCGAAAAGGTGGCGGATTCTGCTCGAAAAGCAGTGTATTAATTGGCAGAACCATACAAACCTTATCAGTTATGGCGGGCAATTCCTCGAATTCTGCTCCGTCTTGGCGGTACACTCTCACAACACCAACACGCAGAAGTCTCTGCTGAGAGCGCTATGGCTCGGCAATGGCCATTTCTTTATCCACATACCGGTACCAAACATATTTATATTTATATTTATTACAACATCTCAAGACTCGGTGGAAACACCGGCCAATGTTAAGAGAGTGGGTGAAATATGAAACTTACCAGAAAAAGTACCGAATTCTGCCAATTTTTCCGCCGGCAGAATCCGCCGGACCCTACCAAGAGTACATAATCCCGGGGCGGGGTTTATGTATTCTTGGTCATACTCGTAGACTCTCTAGAGTGTTTTTTTTTACGTTCCAAAACCTCTTGTACGGGCAAAACCAAAAATGTACAAGTAATATTTAGCTAGCATGCACAGTACTGCACAGTAACTAGTATAATACACTAATAAAACAAGTGAAATTCAGTCCAAGCAACTTTTTAAATGTGTGTTTTTGTTTTTGTTTTTTTTAAGCTAGTCAGATGCCTCGGGCCGCAGGCGTGCCTCCGCAACGACAACCGCAACCGGATCTCGCTGGAGGTAGCGTGACTTGGACGATCTGGCACCACGCAAACACATGATGCTCGACCTCACCAGCGCAAAGCATAGCCGAGTGCGAATCCACGCCATGGTGGCAGAATACTGGTCGTTTCTCTTTTCAGAGATAAGAGCAGCCAAGCGCTTGTACAAAACTGTGGCGGCTTTCCCAGCACCACCACTAGCGGACATGACGACAGGCACGAAGGAGGCCCTCTCGACTTCCCGAGTCCTCTCCTCATATCTCCTCTTCTTCTCGCGTTCATGGCGGGCATACACAGCGGGGGTTGAGGCAGCACGATTCGAAGCAGCATAGGGGTTGAAAACCCGTATATCAAACATTTTACGTTCGAACCGGCCACCCCATAGCCCACTGGCAGCGATGTCGAGGCGAGCATTGTCCTCTATGGACGCAGATCGGAGGCTGAACTGCTCACCAGAGAGCGGTTGCAGTAGAGGTTCCACGGATACCGAGTGAGCCACCTGGCGAATGAGGTCGGCGGTGACGTCACGGATTTCATTGTGTCTTAAAGACGAAAATCCACCGGTCGGCGGTCGGGCAGGATAACGCGTGGGAGACGTCGAAGTGCGCGTTGCCACAAACGCAGGATGACGGTAAACGCTCCGGCACCCAGCCACAGCGCAAACACAGAGCGTCTCGAAACTCAGACTTAGAGAGACGAAAGCCATGGCAGGATAGAGGACGTGACGTCAGCCAAGCAGAGCTACCACACTCGGAAGCAAGCTCAAGCTGAGCCGCATGTACAGCACCTTTACCGCTCACAAATCCCTCCTTCAGCTGTTGCTGTGATGCTCGAGCAGCAGTGCGGACTTGCCGTTTAGCGGTCTTGGTAGCGTCTGCCACACCAGCTAGCGAGGGATCTGCCTGAACAATCCTTTCCCTGAGCTCATTAGTAACAGCTCGGGAGTGGGCATAGTGGCAAGATTGGGCGGTGGGAATCGAGAGACCCAAACTGCCATCCCGACAAGGGAACGAGAGCATAAGCCGCTCCACACTGGACGGAGAGAGGTGACCAGTAAGGGCTGGGATGAGGCGCTCCCTGATGACGGCTTCCAGACCACCAAACTCCTCAGATGATATCTCCAAGGTCCGGGACAAGAAAGACCACTTGCCTTGTAGACCATGGACAAAAGCGGAGTAGGCAGCCTGGGGTTGAGTCCGGGAAAAATCGGATAGCCGAGATACCTGACGTGTCCAGTCGGTGACCTTTGACTCAACGAAACTGCTGACAAACTCTGGGGTGCCTAAAGCGGCTCCCAAGTGACGACAGCCATCTTTGGCGATCTGGACACCCGTGCCAGCAAAGAGTGCAACCGCCTCATCATATGCGCCCTCCTTCACCAGCAGCAAGGATTTGCTGGCGTTGAGGTGGTATCCATAGGCATCTCCTTCTCAGTCAGCCCATCCCACCAGGTGCGGAGGGCTCGAAGTCTTCCACCGCCGGAAGAGTCATCTGCGTACCACACCTGGGTGATATGATGTCGGGTGAGTTGACTGCCGGACCAAGGGTACGATGCCAAGGGCGTACATCGGCATCGCCACCGGATCACCCTGCACCTGGGTAGCTAGGGAGTCGTATACGTAGTCGTACAAATCCCTGGTGCCTGCATGGTGCCTTGGTGGTGCAAACCAGGGTCAGGGAGTAGTACAGTGCTGGCAACTGAAATCCGACCCCCCTTGGCGGCGCGCCGCGCCACCCAAGGGTCGGATTTCAGGTGCCAGCACTGTACAATACCACTAGTACTCCCTGGTGCAAACCATGGGTTGTTCGACTGCATGCGTGCTGGGTAGCTACGGTAGACATGGTAGATCTGCGTAGATAGATCGAGCAGTGCAGAGCGGGGCGGCGCGGGGCCGGGGACTGGGATGTGACATGATGACTTGTGTTGACGTTGACGTTGTTGTTTGAGTCGGGCAGGATATGTGCCACAGAACGCCGGAAATCCATGTGGAGTTTTTATTTCTTTCGAGGCAGAAGATTTTGTTTCTGGCTGTTGCTCGTCAATTCTATGCTACCGTCTGCAGTATCGTACCAGTAGATGCTCCTAGTTAGCTGTTGGATTCAGTGGTCGTGAGTTCTGCTCTATCTGGTTGGAAACTGTTCGATTTTTCGGCGACAGCGGTGGAGGCAAGTAACTTCACAAACCTCAAAGTGACCACCTCCAGAGGGTGAGCGACACAGCCAGGATTGTTATACAATGTTATTGTCTTGCAATGTCCCGTGCATGAGCATATCACGCGCACACACACACACACACACACACACACACACACACACACACACACACACACACACACACACACACACACACACACACACACACACACACACACACACACACGAGTACATCGAGTGATGTCTTCTCAGCATGGTTTGGAGTTGCTGTACACTGGAAAGTACAATACTTACTTAGCGCAGTGCTTACAAAGGTCTCAGATGGTGAGGCAAGAAAAACAATTGTAACATGGAAATTGTGGGCACAAAATCTGGTTTAGTTGGTGGACTCGATTGCATAACTTGTGCCCACAATTTCCATGTTACAAAGGTGTGAGGTTTTCCTCAGTAAATTCTACAGGAGTGCAACAGAAGTTCACTCACACACACACTCGAGAGAGAGAGTACTCAAACCTTTTTTTGTGGAGTAATAATAGTAGTTCATGGGCCAAGAAACGTTGAGAAAATGCCGACTCCAGTCGTGTAAACATCCAACCGTAACAAGTCAGCATACGATTATTTCTTCTGTAGAAACTTTCCTTTGGAATTCAAATTTTTGTACCGTAAAATCCCGCCAGAGCGCCCCGTCTCTCCCATCCGCCCCTCCCTGACTTCTTGTCGGGACGTGATTGATTGTATTCTCGTATGACTCTGTCACAGTCTGTGATGCCGTACTGTACTGCAGACGCGTGCTCGACCCCATTGGAAATGTACGCATCAGTGCCCACCCTCTTGACCAGGGATCGCACAAAACCTGAGTTTTGACGGGTCTGTACGACTCCTGGCTCTTGACCTTTGGTCAGTGTACGAGATGCACGAACAGTTCTCGTAGGGTGAGTACTTGTTCATGTACAGTACTGAATGCGGCAAGTAGGACTCGCCCATCCGCCCCTCCCCACCCGAAGCGTCGAGGAGGTAGGGGCGCTCTGGCGGGATTTTACGGTATTACCTAGGTAATCATGCGTGTTTTTCGAGAGGTTAGAAATTGCTTGCAATACGAAACATGTACCCAATAATCTTATTGCGAAGACTTTTATATCATTTCGAATAACACACATGATGACCTGGGTAAGAACAAAGCATAGGCTGATAGCGAGGGCTCTGGCCTTTCAAACCCTCAGGTTCAAAAAAGAAACTGTGGCTCACAAACATACAAACAAGCATACATAAGTCAAAATTCTAACTCCCACTACACGTTCATTCTATATTCTAACTCCCACTACACGTTCATTCTACCAAGTAGATATATTCTAACTCCCACTACACGTTCATTCTACCAAGTAGATATATTCTAACTCCCACTACACGTTCATTCTACCAAGTAGATATGTTACGCTACGCTCCTACTTTGAAGTACAGTAAAACCTGTGACTACCGACCACCCCTTGGTGCCAGCAAAAGCAGTCTTTAGTAGCAGGTGGTCTTTAATTAGAGGTTTGCACCGCGTGACCATATGTGGATCCCATTATATGATATGTATGTCAAAATGCAGCTAATACAGTTCCCCAAGACTTGCGCCATGTCATTCTTATTTCAGGTCAAACAACACTTGGAGAGATGGAGAGAGCTAGAGACAGAGAGAGAGAAGATTAATTTTTTGCAGACTTCAAATTCAGCTGTTACTTCTGAAGCCAGGAGTCAAACGTTCCCTGGGGAAGTTTCGTTTTGCGCTGGGCTTCAAATTTGTTCATGCGATCAATCGTACCGACTGTCCTTGTTGTGACTTCTCGATTGCTTGAACGCGATCCTTCAGCATCAGGACATTGTGGTGCTGCTTTGTTTCTGGATTCCTTGATGTCATCGTCGATCCGTCTGTGTGACTGGGGTGACAGAGCCGCCCAGTCTTCGTTTCTCCTCCGAGTAGTAACATCGATCAGAGAGCGCTTTCGATGCGCTCTCCAAGATGTTTCCTATCTTAATCATGTTTATTCTTGACAGCGCTTGAAATTTTGACAGGTGTAGTGCAGTCCACACCGACTCCACAGCCAAAATTACTCTGCGTTCATTTGTTCAGCTGTAGTATCGAAAGATTCCTTTCAGGACCATAGAAAATCAGCAAAATTTCAAGAAGGAGCTTCGAGCAACATTTGATTTCCTACATCGCGGTCGCTAGTTACGGGTCAAAAATTGTCTTTGGGACAGGGAAAGGCGGTCGCTGGTCGCGTTCAGCAGGTAGTCGCTAGTCACAGTGCATTTTGAATGTGAGACCGTCCGTGCCTGGCGAAATGGTCGGTAGTACCAGGCTGGTCGCTAGTCACGGTGGTCGGTAGTACCAGGCTGGTCGCTAGTCACGGTGGTCTGTAGTACCAGGCTGGTCGCTAGTCACGGTGGTCGGTAGTACCAGGCTGGTCGCTAGTCACGGTGGTCTGTAGTACCAGGCTGGTCGCTAGTCACGGTGGTCGGTAGTACCAGACTGGTCGCTAGTCACGGTGGTCTGTAGTACCAGGCTGGTCGCTAGTCACGGTGGTCGGTAGTACCAGGCTGGTCGCTAGTCACGGTGGTCTTTAGTTACAGGTTTTACTGTAGTACCAGGCTGGTCACCATGGTTACGGTGGTCTTTAGTTACACGTTTGACTGTAGTTTATTTCCAGTTTTGATCCGTTCCATGCACAAATAAAATGGGATTTGTTGTCCCCGGGGAAAATCGCGGAAAAAATCGCAAAAAACGCGGCATAATATGGCATGATTTGCGGTGAATTTGCGGTAAATATGCGGTGAATATTATTGATATGCAGCAAGTTTGCAGTTGATATGAGGCAATTTTCAGTGAGTATGTAGTGAAATCAATCAGTTACAAGTCTCTGGTGTAAGCACTCGTCATATTTGAGTACAAAGCCGCCACGATGAGATGTTGCTGACCGAACAGTGCACTGTGTGTACGTGTAGTGCAACAAAAAAGTTCAAAAAACGCGGGGAAAATCGCGGAAAACGCGGTCTTTTAAAATCGCAAAAATGCGGCCGCGGGATCGCGATTTTCCCCGGGGACAGGATTTGAATGGTGGCCAGCTGTCTTTGACGGGACAGTACTGGACATGTACGGGATAACGCGTCAGGCATGACACGTCCACGTGATGACGGGCCAGCGACACACACACACACACACACACACACACACACACACACACACACACACACACACACACACACACACACACACACACACACACACACACACACACACACACACACACACTTGCACACACACACACACACACACACACACACACACACACACACTTGTACTTGTACTTGTACTTGTACTTGCTCACTGCCAAAACTGGTCACGTGGGTCTCCCCGGGAGAGGGGAGAGAGACTCAAAAGGAATCTTGGAAAGATGACTCAATTGGCCATTGAACCACCCAACTGCCAACACCCCCTGAAATCCCCAAACTAGGGTGGACTTGAAATGATCCCACTTATGGGCTCACCACACCTCAGTAAGTGGGTGAGGACAAGGTGCACACACACACACGCGCACATACACACATACGGAATAGGTGTGTTCGCCTGGGGTGATCTGAGAGCAGAGCAAGCACGTGGAGCAGTGCGAGTAGTCAGTTCCCAGACGAATACTAAGGAGTACGCACTGCCACGCAGAGTAGTTTCTGTTGCGTTGACATGGAAATCATGGCACCCGAGTTCAACCTTTTTCAATTTAGCGGGAAATTTAAAAAAATTACGTCAGAATCTTTAAAAAAAAAAAAAAAAAAAGCGCAGCAGCAGCAAAAACAAAACTGCTTTGCCTGCTCATCCCCAAGGCCTGGAGTAGCCGGAGCATGCTCTGTACACTTGGGATCCGGTTCAGGTCAGCCGGACCTGCGTGTTCCGAGTGATGCTGTTCTAGTTCTGTACGGGTACCAGACAAACGTGACCCTAAAGTGTGAAGACAAAGAAAAGTTTGCTCTCGTCAAAAGTTTGAACGGACGGGGCTACTGGCTTGGTTACGATATCTAGAATTGACATAATTATAATGCTAGCACATTGAGATCCTTTTCATCAGAAACGAAAACACTGTCAACCTCCCAATACCCGCGTCACTAAATTTTCGTCATTTCTCAGAACCCAGAACCAGTGACAGTGAGTTGACGATTGTACATGTTCATGCAGCACTGTGGCAACACGAGTACACCCTGTTCATGGAGCACTGTGCCAACACAAGTATACCATGTTCATGGAGCACTGTGGCAACACGAGTACACCCTGTTCATGGAGCACTGTGGCAACACAAGTACACCCTGTTCATGAAGCACTGTGGCAACACGAGTATACCCTGTTCATGCAGCACTGTGGCAACACGAGTATACCCTGTTCATGGAGCACTGTGGCAACACGAGTACACCATGTTCATGGAGCACTGTGCCAACACAAGTATACCCTGTTCATGGAGCACTGTGCCAACACAAGTATACCAACTGTTTTAGTGCATTTTGCGAAGTTCAAAGTTTGTGATTCAGCGCCTCAAAATCACGAACATATTAACGTTGATATCACAAATGTGCTTATATCCAGATCCACTCTAATTGTATACTTTGGGTTTTTCCCTTTCTTTCAGGGAGCATGGGTCGACCTTGATGGTGGTTTGCATTGATGGTGGTGGACCTTGATGTTGGTTAGCATTGATGGTGGTGGACCTTGATGGTGGCCTTGTTAAGAACAAGATAGCTGGCGGTGGAGTTTGAGTGGTTGTCAATACATCCGTGCAACGCCTTCTTGGCAGCAGGCAATAGGTGCTTGCTGCAGAGTTGGTGGCTGGATACCATCACAATTGGTAACGCCGAGGCTGAATGTAACATCACATCAAGACACAACAAGACAGGTCCAGCAATCACCTGACAACGGGGATATGTTTAGGGTGAGGTCTTGCTCCATTCCTACTTTCTCAATTCTCTTCTCACTTCTCATGCAGCAAATCTATTCTTGGAATTTCTTGCTGTTGCTAACCCAGCCAGCCATCTGTATTGATCAGGGCTGTGTTCTTTTACGTGAGCAGGACGGAGTTGAGAATCGTGGAGCTTTTCTGTCTTCAGTTGCACAAGGGACAGAGTATGATGTAACTTTCGTCTCTGCACATTTTACATTTTCTTACTTCAGAGAATGTCTGAGGGTATTTATAATGTTTATCGATATTTCTACGCTGATCTGTCATGCTGCTGCTGGTGGTGGTGCTGCTGGTGGTGGTGCTGCTGGTGGTGGTGCTGCTGGTGGTGGTGGTGCTGCTGGTGGTGGTGCTGC